CACTGCGTCTACGTGGGCAGTGTTGGAAACAAAGTACATTAGATCATCTATTTTTAAGTTGATAACAGTGAATTAATTGCTGCAGCGAATTTGGAAAGGGTGATGATACGCCATTTGTTTTTCCTCCAAAAGATCTTCCTCCTCCTCTCCCTCTCCCTCTCCCTCTCTACAAAAATATAACGATTTCTTCCCCAGCCCCCCTCAAGAGATGTTTACTCAGTACCGAAGAGGCCAAACACCGACAGTTCCTAAGGGTACTTTCGGCAAGTGCAGTTGTTAGTTTATGTCCTGTTAGTGTTGGGCAATGCTAATTTACAATGTGCAACAGGCTTTTCCGGTTTAACTGTTTTTCCACTTGTCCATGGTCAATGCAATATGTGTACCAACAGGTAATTTACTCAGCTGAGCTAAACTGAAAATTAGTTAGCTTAGTGATCCCTGTGATACTTTGGGAATCATCTGGTGTTTCAGTGTTGGCGTTAAGAGCTGGAGACCACTTAATTTCCGAAATTTCTGGGAGTACCCCCTCACCCCGATTGTAGCTACAATAAAGAGCCATTCAAGAACAAGAAATAATTGCTCCTGGATAGGACAGCTTTGAAAAGTGCATTTCAATCTACTGTCACTTCTTTAAACTTGTAATCGGTTTATGCGTGACTGGGCTGTTCGTATGTTTGTGACAACTTTCACTTAGTCCTGAATATCAGCCATGCAGCACGGTTGCTGATATTATAATCAAAGGCTCCCTGAGCCAGCTCATGGATGAATAGTTGACTTGTGCCTCTGTGGCAAAATGAGTCTTTGTGCAAAACTATTTGTATGAAAATGCATGTCGCCTTTACATTCATTCTCTTGAAAATCAAGTCATTTTCATGTGAAATGTTCATCACGAGCATTCGTTCTAAAAAGAGAGGCAAACAGCAACTCTGAAGTGGAAGTAAAATCTGCATATGAGCCAAGTGGCCCTTCAGATCGGCACTTATCCTGGTTTCTGTAGCATGAAGCGACTAGGAGTATTTCTACTACCCCCAGATGGGATGCTAGTCGATCACAGGGTTACTCCGCAATATTAAATTTGCCAGTACTCATTTATACACCAGAGTGGAAAGAGGCACTGTGAGAGTAAAGTGTCTTGCTCAAGAACACAATAAAATGTTCCCAGCCAGGACTCGAGGCCAGACTGCTCGAAATAGAAAAGAAATACGAAAATCAAATAACAGGTTGTTTACACAGACAGCTTATAAATATTAAAATGGATAATAATTAATTTTGATTGCAATTGGAACATTTTTATCATATTAGCTTGTACATGATGTAGTGTCAAAGAATAACAACACTCTGTTTCAAAATGAAATCATTAAATGAGAGTTCACCATATTTACCAGTTAGTCCAAAACTGGAAATATAATTATGTATATGAGTCAGCAGTGCATTGTGGGTCAAGGTAAATCGGTTATGGTCCTTGTGTAGTTAACATTATGAAACAGCTGTATAACAGTGATTACTATTATGC